TGTATCTTTAGAGGGTACATGTGATGTTTTGATACAGGCATACAATGTGAATTAATCAAATCAGAGTAACTGGGGTATCCATCACCTCAGGTATTTAGCATGCCTTTGTGTCAGGAACATCTACATTCTATTCTTTTAGTTATTTTGAAGTATACTCTAATTTATTGTTGATTATAGTCAACTTTGTTGTAAATGCAATACATTTTAATATTATGCATTTGTAAGGGGAGAGAAAACATACCAGAGAACGAAATCGTACAGATTCTATTTGTCCATACTCTTTAAAAAATGACTTCAGCTTCTAAAATTAAAAAATACATATATACATTAGCTCACTTTCAGAACATCAAGTAAGTGCTCCAAAAAGAAATTAAGTAAAATTGTCTGATAATCCTTTACTTCCGGTTTTATTTTAAGAACATTTCAGGAAAAGTAGGTGACTATTCAGTTGGATGAACAAAAAATTTCACTAAAACTTACATACAAAGAAAATACAATTCAAATTCTTATTAGTATTCATCAGGTGCATAATATTTTTCCTTCAATCTTTTATAATATTTACCACATGTAAATTAAGATTAGACTTATAGCTTCCACAGATTCTCTCATCTTTTCACATTGGCTTAAATCAGAAATGATGTTTAAGGATGCTTATGTCACTACGAGAAATTCTTCAGCTATCTCTAATTAAGACCACTAGATTGAAGAAAATCCTTATGGGTAAGTTTTATACATTATTCTTATGACTGGCTCAGGATGTGAAGGATGTATATGTTTTATAGGTAGGGCAATAATTTCTTTTCTTTTCTTTTTTTTTTTTTTTAAGAGACAGGGTCTCACTATGTTGCCCAGGCTGGAGTAAAGTGGCTATCTGCAGATGCGATCATAGTGTGCTACAGCCTGGAACTTCTGGCCTCAAGTGATCTTCTCAAGAGGACAATAATTTCTACAACCAATTCTAACTAAAAAATAATTTACTGAATGGTTAGTATTTGTGCAAAGCACTATACAAACACTCCCTTCCCTTGAGCTCCTTATAATCTAATAGAATCAATAACTAAAACTATGCTACAAAGTAAAATGTGTTCTGTCCACCAAAATAATCACAAATCAAATGCTGGGAGGCAAATAGGTAAGTGAAAACAGAAAAAATCAGCAAGTTTTTTGTACTGTTTTGTTTTTAAGGAAGTATTAATATAATTTAAATTGTCTTTCAAAAGATAAGCAGGATTTTGATTACAAGGATTGTCAGCAGAGTGACTGCCACATGAACACAAAAAGCAAAGGGTATGTTTTTGGTTCAGTGAACCCCACATAATGGAAGAAACTGAGGATGTATTCATTCTTTTACACAACAGCTATTGATTGAGCCCCTACTATGTGCAAGGCACCATTTCAGGTGTTAAGGATAGAGCAGTGAAGAAAAGAGATTAATATCCCTAAACATATGGAGCTTACATTCTAGTGGCATATAGTAGGAGATAAGGCTGAGAGAAAAAAACTAGACAAGTCAACACAATAGTTCAAATATGATCTGCAAAAGCCTGAATTAGGGCAGTGCCTACAGGAATGAAAAGGAGAGGATGGATATTGGAATCTATCTATAGAATTACTTATAATAGGAAGTGGTTTACAATGAAGTTATAAAAATGCTTATTCAATAAAGGAAGGGTAAACAAAGTTATTCATTTCTTTAAATTTTTACAATATACAAACTACAAACTCACCTTCTTATTACATGTCACAGGCAAATTGCCAACAAACACAGTTCTCTCATTCTTTAATCTCTCTTCTTCTTGGTTGATCTGAATTTTCTTTCTTTGATTTACAACTGTGTCATCTACATCGTCAAGTACTTTTCTATCTGCGACTTTAACACCAGATTGAGAATTTTTCCCTTTCTGCCCTTGTTTCTGGTAAATTTCTTCTTCTAAATCAGCACTCGCTAGAGCACTTTCCCTTTTTAAGGCAAAAACAAAAGTAAGTAAGAAGTAAAAGTCATGTAAGTCAGGTCTAGAATTTGACAAAGCACAGTCCTAAACTCATAATTAGAAACATTTCCCAATGACTTCCGGCTGTTGCTAAATATAAACTTACCACTCACAAATATATCGAAATTTTTAAAGCAGCATTATCTAGAAAGTTAACTAGTATCTTTAGAAAACAAATCTATAACTCAAGAGTTAAAAGAAGTTAAGCTCAATTTTTAAACATATATGTCAAAACTGCCAGGTAATAGCAGCAGCAAAAGTTGTTTATCTAAATGAAAGCTGGTTCATTTAAAACTCTCGGAGATTTAGTTTACGCTCTACCAATGCCTAATTTCATTCCCTGCTCTAAAACTTTAGGGGCACTATAATACTCCCCGAGAGTCTAAAAAGGTTAATATGCCTGTAAAATACTTACTTTGTAAAAGCAATCTGACCAATAGGACAAACCAAATTCCCTACTCATAATAGTTACTCATAATAGTTCTGTAAGATTTAAAGGACTGCTTACCAAAAGTAAATTCTGAAATGGCAAATACAATATAAAGTATTGGTGCACATGGGTAAGTAAGGTCTGAGCATCAATCCAAAAATAGAACACAGCTGGGTACAGTGGCACATGTCTTTAGTCCCAGTGACTGGGAGGCTGAATCAGGAGGATCGCTTGAGCCCAGGAGTTCAAGGCTAGCCTGGGCAACATAGCGTGACCCTTTCTCAAGAAGAAAAAGAAAAAGAGAGATTGCTCTCAGAGAATCCAGTAGCTTCAACAAGAAAAGCAGTCATGTGAAATGTAACAGAGAAGACTCATAAGACAAAGGGTACATTACCCATTAAATATGGCAAAGATGGCAACAAGGTTAGGATGGCCTCCCTGAGCATTGCTATGGGCAGGGCAAAAAGAGAAACAAAAAAACAACCACCACCAGACTGCAAGTGTGTAAAAAGAGTATAAGAATAGACTACTTTTTCTAAAAGCTTGACTATGAAAGACAGAATTGAGGGAATGATAGCAAATGGAGACATACATCTGTAGACAGGGTTTTTTTTTTTTATTTCCTTTTTTAAGATGAGAATCTTGAGCATGTTTATATGGTGGAAAGATCAAAGATATAGGAATGAGAAAATGGATTGATCTGATGGCACAATCCCTAAGGGAGCAGAACAGGTATACACAGCACGCAGGCTTGGTTAAGTTAACCTTGAACAAGAAGGAAAACACCTTTCTCTGAAAGATGGGGAAGAAATTAAGGCTGTGCATAAATACATCAAGTAAATAGGCGCAAAAGCAGAAGTAGTGCACAATTGTGATTAATAGCTCTCAGAATAGGTGAAAAGGTCCTCAGCTCAAAGAGGAGAGAGAAAAGGGAAAAGGAAATAAGGAGCTTGAAGAAAGTGGCAAAGAAGAGAGGAATGAGGAAAGTTAACTGTGACCATGTGATGGTACCACTATTTGGATCCTGATTCAAATACACTGTCAAAAAATTTAAGTTAATGGAGGAAATTTGGTCTCTGACTGAATAAGTTTAAGAAAACCAAACTCATCTTTTATACACGTTGAAATATCATATTTATAGATGAAACAAAAGTCTTAAGTTTGTTTCCAAATAATGAAGGGTTATTGAGTAAAGACAAAATGAGATTGGCTAAATATTAATAATTGTTGATGCTGGGTACATGGGGTTTCTTACTCTTTTCAACCTTTTTATATGTATGAGATTTTTCGTAATAAAATTTTTGAAAGAAACAAATTAGAAAAATATAAAATGAGAAAAAAATTAAGACAAAATTTCAATGTCTTTACCACCTAATTTATTTAACATCAAATAAGAGAATTTTACCAACCTGTTTGCCAACTTTTTGTCTGCATCAGAGTGTTTCTTCTTCACTTTCATTTTTTTTGCAGGTTCTTGCAAAAGTGGTCTTTGAATCTGGGATGTACTTTCCTCCTCCTCATCACGTTTCCTTTTTCTGGCGGTTTCCTTTTAAAAAAAGTTTGAAGTTATGTTTGAAACCTCATCTTTTAAAATTTCTACCCCAACCAATAATTAGTGTTTTCTAAATTAGCATCTCTTCTCTCTCACTGCTATATCGAATAATGAAAGGTTACTTAATATTAATCCTATCTACCCGCCTTTAGAACATGCTTTGAATAGTAAGACACTGGTTTTAAATTTGTTCTAATGGGTCATTCTAAATAGAACGCAGTGACTTACTTTAGGCACGGGCACGTACACGGGTTGAACATGAGGCTCAAAAGAGCTGAAGAGGGACGCCAGCCGACCTGTGCTGCCTCTGGAGAGCTTGTCGTGGAATAAACTATTGGCGACTTGTCCAACCAGATAGTCTCCGGTCAGATTCCCGCGAACACCGTCGTCTGGGTTCTTTCTAGAAACGGACGCCAGAAACTTAGCCACGCCACACCCCACCAGTTCGTCCGCCGGAGCGAAAGCACAACATCCTTGCCCAGCTACACGTGCCGCGCGCCACTCACCCCTGCTCGGCACTTTTCTTTTTCTTCCGTTTGTTCTTCCCTTCCACAGCCATTTTTATTTCAAGGCCTCTCAGACAGCAGCAACACGCCAGCCACACTTCCGGATTCCAGCTACTTCCGCTGTCGGGCCACGCCCCTTCCGCTCCGCGTCGATAGCGGCCGCGCAGAGTGTTGAGGGAGATGCTCCGGCGGGAACCCGGGACCGGGCCAAGGGAGTGGACGCCGTATTGTGCCCATCGGCTGGCTTTCCTCGCTTTTTTTCAGGGAACCCTAGTGTTGGGAGTGAAGAAAGTCTTCCGAGGGTAGCAGAGGCCTGAAGTATTAATAAGAATCAACCAGGCTGGGAGTGGGGTGTATACCCAAGCAGAGGAAAAACCACGTAGAAAACTTGAATTGCTTAAGAGGGAGGGAGTTGTGACAAGCAATGAGCTTACGGGGGTATATGGAACTAAGTATTTACAATTTGAGTCGGTGTGAAGAGTATACAAGAGTTCTTTGAACTGTTCTTACATCTTCTGAAGTTTGACATTACTTCAAAATAAAGTTAAGAGCACATAGTTGGAGAGCACGGCTCTAACTGATCAAATGGATATACAATTCGGAAGATTGTAATGCTACTGTGCTGCTCTACCAGGAAAGGTGTATAGTTGGCACTCAAAACTCTATATGCTGGTCTCTCAGCCTGCCCTCCAAGACTCATCTCCCTCCAAACCCTTCCATTCTAAGCCAGCTTTTCTTTACCGCCTCTACTTTTTGTTATTCCTGCCCCAATAATTGCCCTCTTCTTTCCCCTTGTGCAAAATAATACCCATCCTTCAAGACCCGGCTCAGATACTATCTCACTTATGAAAATTTCTCTGCTATTTACTGTAGGGATATAAACTTTTCCCAAGCCCCCATCGTACCTATTATAATCGTTTTTTGCATTAGTGTTATTTATTTACACACTCCCTTTAGATGTAAACGCAAGACATTAAGAGTATCTGTCTTATTCATCCTGCATGCTGTATCCCTATTCACTGTACCTAGAGAATACTTGTTAAATTGACTTCTAGGTAATAAAAGATTACTAGATAAATTATTGAATAGTTTGGGTGATAAAATAGGATTTGACTTTGAATCTTTTGGGAACAGGCTTGCTTTTTGTTTTTGTTTTTTTTCTTGAGACAGAGTCTCTCTTTTGCCCGTGCTAGAG